GTGTGGCTAGGAAGAGGAGCGGCATCAGCAACGTACCTTCTTCTACTGTTTGAAGAATGGCTGAAGTTGGAGCGCCTCAGGGAGCTCACGGCAGGATTAGTTTGCATCAGGAAGCAGTTTACTGAGTTTGCACGGACATGAAACGAGATTGTGTTTTCCTGAAATAAATTTCACTGTCTTCTTGAGTGTCAAAAAACCTTACATGATTAGGAAGCTTATTGCATTTGGTGAATCTTTTGATGACCTTCTGGCATATGCAAGCGTGGTTAGCGACATCTCTCTTTCGTTTTCAAGCTTCAAGCGGAGTCGAATTTCAAGTCCGATTGCAAATTTCAGGAACGGTGCATAGCTGAAAATTGGCAACTCGGAGTAGAATCTGTGAAAATTTCGATTCAGAAATTAGTCTAATTTTTTAAGTAGATGAGGTAACTGCATTAAAATATCTCTTCGTTAAATAGGAAGAATTCTAAAATATAATCGATACGTAGAATATGTAGTGCAAGAATTTATATTGCAAGTCAATATACATTCAATGTTCATTCAATGTCATTTCAGATTCTTTCACTTGAAGCAATGCTTAATTTGGCCTTCTATTTCCATGACCTCTCAAATTAAGCAAATTAGAGTATATGACTTATGCATCTAATAATTCACCTTGCTTAAGGGAATTACGTTGGCAAATACAGCGATCGTTCATCAGTCGGCCTTTTATATTTCTGCCGTGCGACTGACGAATCCACGGTTTCTTATCTCTCAGCCCAACAAGGTATTGATAAGAATTACTAAAATTCTAAGTGACTGTGAAAAAACATTTGATTTTTTGGCATTATGGGACAACCAATGTAAATTCCCGCTGATATATTCTGCTGCCCATATATTATTATGCCTTCTTAGGTCTTACTCCTTCCGCATTTTTATTTTCTACGTACACTGAAAAAAAAATTTTGCTGCTAACTCAAGTAAAGAAAAATTAGCCTCTGATAGAACAGAAGAATTCTTATAATAAAAAAAAACAATACCAATTTAAGTTATCTTAGATGAGTGTGTTCACTTTACCTGCTATTGTAAATAATTTTAAGAAATTTGACTCTAATCTAGATGTTCTCCTCAATTTGTAAAGTCGAGCGCAAGCGTAGCTTATTTTTTAACCACCATATTATGGTATTTGATAAATGTGTAAACCCAAGCTCCCCTTGATGTAATCAACTTGTCTAATACGATTTTCTCTTTGCTTCAATCCATGAACTGAGAAAAGTAAGAAACGTAAAACTTATGACTGTTGAGATTAACTGAATGAGATTATGTTGAGATTAACTGAATGTGTGATTAAACACTACGGGTCCAGCAGATCTTTCTCATGTTACGGGCGCAATTTCAGGTCCTCTTATATGGGTGGTATTCAAATAAACGAGTCCTGAGAACTTAACTCTGTCAAAAATTCATGGATCCTTCAAATATCGTGATAAGACCATTGAAAGGCCATCGATAATGTTCTGGAAAGTTTTAATAGAGGTTCTTTCAGACACACATTTCTCTTCAATAGCTGTCACGTTCAAACCTTTAATCGGGCTTCAATCTCTTCAACTACAATTTATGTCGTTGGTTTCTATTTATATCTCTACAGTGGCTTACAAGGCTACGGCTTTAGCTTCAGTTGTGCCTCCATAAGGGCCATTGGATGGCCTCCTGATTTCCATAAATCAATTAAAGGCCCTAACGCGATTACGTTCATCCAGCCCCTTGCCTACTGCTTCTGCCGCTGCCACCTTACCTTTCAATGGACGGCTGAGGCTCTTTGAATGATAATGGGTACTGTTATTTTACTTGCTGATATTCATTGTAACGGGACTGATATTTATGCGTAAGCACATTATAGCGTGTAAATGATGAAGTTTATACGGATGTCCTGTGTTCGTGACATGTTACAAATCTGTCGCCAGGTTACATGTTCCGTCACTGCTGCAAACACATGTTGCGATGAGTTTGATGACGTGTTGTTTGTTGTTGCAATGAGCTGTGTTCACACTGCGCTGAATAACTAATCATATGGTGAAAAGTTATTTAATTTCAATCTATCACAACCAGATGTACTCAAAATGGTTGATTATTATTAAATGTAAAATTAGTTTACGACAAATAACCTTTCAAGTGATGAAAATATTTTCGATACATTATATAATCGGAAAAGTACGTCCCCAGTACTGAAAAATATGAAAAATTGTTTGCATGTATGTATGTATGTAATAAATATTCAAAATAAGTTAGCGTTTATATCTGTCAGTACTTAGTAAAGCAAATAATAAATTTCGTATTGTAACTGACTGAACGTTTCAAACAATTTTTTAACATTTTTGTTTGATTAGGCAAGATTAAATATATGTGTCTCGCGATTATCTTCTTGTAAAATATGGAAGATAAAATCTGATCTGTGGAGAACATCATTAACTGAACAGTTCAGAGATCACTAATTTGATAAAAAGTGCAAATTGCTAATTTCATCGTTCAGCTGTCGCGAAGCAAAAGCTCTTGGCGTGCACTTCTAAAACTATGGACGAAATATCGGCGAGTTAATTAAACGTAGATTGTAAGCAAAGAATCTCATAGTTGATCTCTGCCCTTGAAGAGGATAATTCCGAACCCTAAACGACTAATCTAATCCCAGTGTTCTCCGTTAAACTCTAGGCTTTATAATTCATTGAATTTTAAACACGTTTTAAAATTTAAGGCCAAGCCTACAGTGTTATCCGTAATTGATTCCCACACAAGCGATAAGCTTGCAATTATATTTCACAAAACAGAGCTTTTTTAGCCTCTTCGAGATCCATTAAGTTATTTGTTGGGTGTAGATGGGTTTCTTTTATATTGCATGCATGATACCACCGATGTAAGGGAATGAGCCTTTCGTTGTGCAGCCCAGCAAAAAACTAGCGGGAGTCAATGAGTGTCTGGAGATCTACTGCGTACACTTTGAGTGTCTGGAGATCTACTGCGTACACTTTGAGTGTCTGGAGATCTACTGCGTACACTTTGAGTGTCTGGAGATCTACTGCGTACACTTTGAGTGTCTGGAGATCTACTGCGTACACTTTGAGTGTCTGGAGATCTACTGCGTACACTTTGAGTGTCTGGAGATCTACTGCGTACACTTTGAGTGTCTGGAGATCAATTGCGTACACTTTGAGTGTCTGGACAAATGTAACATTTGTTTTTCAAACATGTCTTTCAGATCATTTTTAGTTCACTAGTGAAGGCCTACTTGTCAAACGTGCTATTGCTGCCTTCCTGTCCTGTAATTTTGCATTGAGGGACTTAATTGGCTTTGTATTATCGGATAATAAACCTTTGTGAAGAGCAGCCCTTGTTTAAGATCAATAAAAATTTAGAACTAAAGCTGTCTAAGTTCAATACGACAAAGTGATTGTATTGGATATCTGATGAAGCGGATAAAATTAAATTGCCACTCACCATTTTCAGCGTAGATATTATCACATGTTAAATGCGGATGGTGATATAGAAAATGGACAAAGACAAGCGACTCGACGCGAAACTTTTCTCTATTAACATTAGAGGTTATGCGGAAATATTGTGACAGCTTCGATGCGCAAGAAGGTATAAAAAAATAATGGAAGCAACCTAGCTAAATTAATCCATATTGTAGGATAACAAATAGAAAAGTTAAAATTCATAGAGAATAGGAACCATATCTCACGAGAATGAAAGCAAATTTGAATTACGCAGTGGATCTCCAGACACTCAAAGGGGTCGCCTGCCGAAGACCACCACTGCCCTGGATGTAATGGACCATCATGATTCCTGCCTTCCGGAACGTAGCCTTCAACACTTCAAGCCGTCCGTATCTAGGCCGTGGGTCAAACCAGCCGGCCCTCGGTCGAACGGACACTTGTCGAAGGACGATAAATTTTGGAACAGAACTATACTATCTGAAACCTAACCTCAGATGAGGTGAACGTAAAGTTACGTAATTGAACGATACCCGGAAGTCAGATTCGATCCACGGCCTGGTGGTGCAAGGCAGGTTCTATGCGAGGCCGGAGGAAGACGAAGCAGAGTGGTTCACGGCTGACTGGTGGATGTCCGGAGAGATCCAAGGCGTTCGATTCAGGGCTTATTGGTGCACAAAATTGGTGGTGCACATCCAGACACTCAAAGTGTACGCAGTAGATCTCCAGACACTCAAAGTGTACGCAGTAGATCTCCAGACACTTAAAGTGTACGCAGTAGATTTCGCACATACGGTGCAATTGATGCAATTTCAAATTGATACCAGAGAATGCATTCTGTTAATAATTTCCTAAGTAATTTTTCAACAAATAAGAAACTAACTAGCCAATTTGAAAAAATATACATATAATTGCTGGTTTTCCATCTAGTTTGCAGTAAATCATAATGTGTGTGAAATCACATCGAAATGGAGCTTCTGACAATTCTAAATTGGAATGATTTTCGAATCATGAGTAAAACATGCAACAAAACATGAGCCAAAATAAAACAAACCATCATTAGTGTCATATTTACTTGATATAAGTGTCATCTTTACTTGATATGGCCGCAAATCCAAGACTATCTATATTCTACGTTAAAAGTTACATCGGATTCAAAAGAAATAGTCCTTATGTTACTCGGAAGAAAGTAACAGAAAGTACGGTTCAGCAAGCATAAATTATTAACATATTATTGCGATTAGGGTATCATTTCTTATTATAATTCAGTATTTTTAGTAGTAATCGTTTTTTTTATTTATTTCGTTAAATCAGTTTCTTTACATTTAAAATTAACAATTTGACGTTATTTAAAAATTTATTTCTAATTGTAATATCATTTAAATTGATAATTTAGAGCCAGAAATTCAAGTAAGAATGCCATATGTATGCAGTAATTCTCAACTTATTGTTTCTTTTCATTGCACCTATTCGGCAAAGCATATTTTATGTCACCAAATATTCATATATTTCAATGTGAACAAATGAAATGTTTTCTAATCCTTCCTTGTGCTTCAGGAAAATTTATTAAACAAATTACCTTTTCTAAATCTCGTCACTTAACACCATTATAGCTACATGTGATTTATCTACCAAAACACAAATATTGCACTTTAATCAATCTGGTATCCCGGAATATGAAGGATTCATTCCGTAACTCGACAATTATTTAAACATGATTTTGTTCTCCCACGAGATTCTAGAATTACCATCAAACAAGTTTCTGGTAAGACAATAAATTCTGAAACAACTGTTAACTTCAAAGCCAAAATGAAATAGCAGGCTAATCTGGACAACATTAATTGATACGTGACAGGATATCTTCACTATGTAATCAGGATTTCCTCACTGTGTAATCAGGATATCCTCACTATGTAATCAGGATTTCCTCACTATGTAATCAGGATTTCCTCACTATGTAATCAGGATTTCCTCACTATGTAATCAGGATATCTCACTATGTAATCAGGATTTCCACACTATGTAATCAGGATTTCCACACTATGTAATCAGGATTTCCTCACTATGTAATCAGGATTTCCTCACTATGTAATCAGGATTTCCACACTATGTAATCTGGATATCCACACTATATAATCAGGATTTCCTCAGAAATCTGTATTAGTCTGATTTAAGTATTCTAGCTTGAGTTGGAATTCATTATAGGTGCATTGTGTTGGAAATTTCTATTTTGCCTGTGGGATTAGTTTGCAATAGGTACATTTACTCCCACAACGATTAGAAATTCTAGTAAATTAGTCTTTTTAAATAAATAACTCTTCGTTTTCATTCAAAGTGTGACAGTCTCAACTAAAATTTGATTTGAACGCTATAAAAAAAATCTTTGAGTTAAATTTATTTTTTTTATCCGTTTTTCATTTTGAACCACGCAATCATTCTTAAATAAACAGAATACATACGGACTTTTGATTTTATTACATCTATCAGATTAGAACAATGGAAGCACAAATGATATGCATGTCCTATTCTACAGCTGCATCCTTCTTCATATGCTTCTACGTTCAAACATCGCTATTGTATTGACCATATACGAGTCTACGGAAGATATATGATGAGGCACTATTTATTATACAGAGACGGTTTCAACACACGAACACAGCTGTTGAGTACATCGATGATTATTCTAGGCATCAACCTTATACGTTATAATTTTCCAAGAATTGGAGAGCAAAGACAATTTTTTCTTGATGTTATATCTGTAGTTTCTTTGTTTCTTAAATTCATGGTAAATTTGCGAACTAAGCGAACAAATCAAATGAAAACTTGTATTTACTTTGTTTTCAAACTACAACGAATAAAATTAAGGTTATACCCATATTATACATCAAAAACCCGTGACTCTGTGGTCACATTGCACAGCTAAACGTCGCCTAAACTTCTGAAGTTAAGCTTGATCTTAAATAATAAAGAATTGCCTACAATTAGTAAACATTAAAACGGATAACCGAAAAAGCTGCAGAGCTAATAACATCACTTATACACCGGGTAACATTTACCATTCGTATAACACAAATAGGATAAAATCGCTTATAATGCGTCAACATAAAACCACTGTAACACATTCTTCTCATTCGCTTCTCCGACGTCATTCATCACAAGTTCTAGCACGTTTTGTTTGAGAACGTTGTTTTGAAATTAAGTTTTGAAAATAAGCCTGTAAGAATTTGATCTATACAATATACTTTATCTCAATGCATTATTAGAATTATATGGTAGTACATCATTTCTAGTCGATGTTCCAGGTAAGGATATTTTATTATGAATTTCACAAAAACAATATTGATCAAATTTTAAAATCGAATAATATTTTGAAAAATTAACCGTCCAATTCATTCACGAAGTCCCGTATTTCTTTCAGGTGTAACACTTCCAAAATTTTTTCATCCCGAGCAATAATAATTCACTCATATTACGCTCAGCGATGGCAAGACCAAAGTTTGATTGTTTCTACCAAGTTTTACCTGTGGTGAATATGCTGTTTTTAAACATAACTGCTGTTCACGACCGGAAGTACCTGCTATTCCATCACCGGAAGTGCCTGTTACTCACCACCGGAAGTAACAGCCGTTCACCACCGGAAGTACCCGATATTCACCATCGGAAGTGCCTGTTGTTCACCACCGGAAGTACCTACCATTCACCACCGGAAGCACCAGCTGTTCACTACCGGAAGTACCTGTTGTTCACCACCAGAAGTACCAGCCGTTCACCACCGGAAGTATCAGCCGTTCACCACCGGAAGTACCAGCCGTTCACCACCGAATGTACCAGCTGTTCACCACCAGACGTACCAGCCGTTCACCACCACCAGCAGTACCAGCTGTTCACTACCGGAAATACCAGCTGTTCACCACCGGAAATACCAGCTGTTCACCACCGGAAGTACCAGCTGTTCACCACCGGAAGTAGTCTCGAGGACAGTCTCTAGCAGACCCGCACCAAGTCGTCTCTGTGAGGCTGGGGCACTTAAGGCCTCCTCTGCGTGGCTCTTGCGTGACGTTCCTGGAGCGCACTTGCTCGCCGATGCCACACGTCTTGCTGCACGCCGACCACCCAGACCACTCGCCTACCTTGCAGTCCACCGCCTGCTTGCTTCGATCTGTAACGTAAACATTTAATCAGTATCTCTATAGACATAAATTCGTTCAATGATTCCAGGCTGAGACTGAAAAATATTTTTAAAATGATCTGTTTTGTAAACAACCGAAGATCCATAAGTCGCAGGATCGCAGGATCTTTTCTACCAAGGAATTGCGACTGAAAAGAAGGCTTAGGTCGTTAATATAAACCGCAACGAATCTTAAAAAAAAGGAAAAAAAGGTTCATGTAGAAAAATAAAGTTCTTGAAGCCGGTGTAAAACATTAGGTTGTTGTTTTGCAAAAATAATTTTGTAAATCAGCAATACTCTCAAAAATCATTCTTATTTTCGTTTATCTTACAGAAGATATCGCTTCTTCAACTCAAAGTAAATGGCATCTATAACTAAGTAGCGCTTGGAGCTAAGCTACATGAGCCTATTTCTAGATGAGGAATTGCATCTTCAAAATCTCACTCAATTAATAGAACACCGACCAGCGAATGAAAAATATGTAAATTCTATTGATTTCGTGAAGTTCGTGTTAAACTGCTTCCAAAAATATCTTCTCTTTCTCAATGCACCTGTCACTCAACACGTTCCATTGAGTTCAGTGACGGAAAATATTATTACTAGAGGCTGGGTAAACAAATCTAACAGCTCACTGAAAAGCAATTTCATTACAAAAATTTCACGATTCATGGATAATTACAACATATACAATGTTAATATATATTCCACGTGTTTTTTATTTTCCGTGCAATCTGCGTTTTCTGTTGTATCCATGAAGTGGTATGAAGTATGAACAACTTTAACTCCTATTTATAGTTAAGTTAGAAAAACTTTTCAGGTAAGGAAAAATATTGTAAAGATTTTATCCAGTTGGCATGTGGCCTTGTGCAAATCGTAAAGCGTGCTAATGTTATTCTGAACAAAGCACCATTATTGCTTAAGATAGCTGTCATTTTATTGAACTATTCATTTTGTTCATTCAAGACAATTCCATGAGTTTTGTTCGTTCTTCATTCTATTTCTGATAGAATAAATAAAATTTCTGATATGACCTAAAATTTTGCACTAAATTTTGAAATACGATCAGTCTTCAATAATATAGTTAACCATATGTCATTTTCTTCTTCCAGTGCTTGATCAAGTGAAGAAAATCACGGCATCTAAGACTATACTATTTTCGTGATTAGCCGTAAGACGCTCAATGATATTTTCTTCATATCATCACGACACGGCATAGGACGTTATTGAGAGTACCGAACATATTCAAACTCTTTTTGCATTTAAGAACATTCCATTAATTTTAAAATCAATAAGGAATCGGCTCAAAAGATTTGTAGGCGGATTATGTTTTTGAGATTAGGTATTTCGGGTCAACAAACCTATTCAAAACTCGTTCTGTCGTTCAGAAGCCGCAATTTAATAAAGGTTATCATCACACACAAATGTAAAATTTTTTCATTGGTGTGCACTTAAATTATGTAGTTTATGAGTAACGGCGGGTATGTTTTCTAAAGTGTGAAAATTTTAATTGTCGTATTTCCCGACAATTAAATTAGCAATCTAAAAAAAAATTAAAAATTAGCAATCTAACAAATGTGGAAAATTAGCAATCTAACAAATGTGTACGGAAGATTGTCTTTTTAAAACAAGCCTAATGACAGGTAAGGAAACGTTTAACCTTTTTTCTATGTATGCAGAACCTAAATAAACTTTTGCTTACGAGGCTGTATGCCGTTCAGTCGCTCAAGTTTACGCCTGTTGCGCCGTTCCAGCCGCCGCTGCTGGCGACGCTTGCGTCGCTGGTCCCGCTGGTACGTCTCTACGATGCTATCAATGACTGACATGGCGTCGCCCCTGGGGATGATGTGCAGGCTTGACGACTGCAAAGTGGAGGAAACTTTTAATTTGAGCACTCAACGAAGAGCAGGATTTCCGATAAAAGAAAATATATTATATGAGGCGGATGTTGATTCAAATATTTTGAAAGGACCGTCAACCTAACTATTGCTTTACCTAATTTTTTCGTTGATTACAGACGAAATTTTCGGGCTTAAGGATTAAAGGAGCACGTTTCTTACACGAAAATACTCCTAAATAGAGACTTTTATTATGAATAATTACATTACCTTGAGTATTCGATTTTGATTCAAGCCAGGCTCTTCGGGTTCGTCGAGCTCATTTTGAAGATCAGAATGTGTGGCTGCGAACTGGGGAACGAAACAGTTGAGCTCCGAATATTTGATGTAACATCTATATTTTATACCTTGTTTGGTGGTGACTTTTAGTAATCGTGACATATTTTCCTAAAATTTCTCTTAACTTTTTTTACACATATGCACTCGCGTAATTGATCAAGTTGACATGCATGCTTCATCAGGTCAACGAAATTAATCAAGTAGATGCTATTTTTGCCAGAGTTCAGAAAAATTATCTTAAATATAGTCATGATTTTTTAATTCAATGAGCTATCTTTTTGGTAGAAGAAACGACATGGCGCTAAATTTCTTAAATTTACTTAGAATCTAATCATCACCTTTCTCTCTCTGTGCTTCCTATTCTTTTCCTTGAGTTTTCTCCTCTTTTCCTGCAGCAGCTGCTGGTGTTTCTGATGGTTTTCAATAGCCTGTCTGTTGCGCTCTTGCTGCAACCTGTCGTACTGTTCCCGAGGAAGAACAGCATTTAACGGAACAGCTCTTGTAGTTGCAATGTTCCCTCCATCTCTGCCATAATTCTCGACCTCGTCCACTTTATTTGTTAGAACAGCAACGTCGTTAGAGATAAGATTGGAGTCATCGGCAAAATGCTGGCTTTCGGGCGAAATTGCCCCGTTTGTCAAAAGTGGTGAAGCTCCTGGTAACTTCGCCACGCCAAACTCCAGGGAGGGACCAGCATGAGTTGTGCTAGAGTTATTAGGCCGGTCAGAGTTGAAATGAATCTCATTAGACGTCACGTAAGGAGGATCACGAGATGGCACTTCTTGGGAGCGAAGTGCGTGTGAGAGATTCGTTGTTATTTCGGGTAAAGTTTCCCCGGAGTTGCTGATAGAATGAACAACATGACGAACTTCAGCTCCGACTGTCCCTCCGTCAACAGACTTATGGCGTCGCACCGGAGTGGGAAGAATTGGAGGTGGAGGAGTTTGTCGCGGCTTTTGAGCTTGTTGCCGAACACTATTGGCTGCGTGAAGACCAGAAGGAATGTAGTTGTGGTCTATCTCGTGCATGGTCGTCTGACCTGCAGTAGTGGTTGACGTGGTTGTCGTGCTGGTGGTTGTCTCTTCGGTTGATGAGGTTGCATCGATCGCGCGAAGTGGGATCGTCACGGCGGTGGGCTTCACGAGCCGATACTCGCGAATCTGTGCGCAAGTAAAGAAATTCGTTTTATTGGCTGAATTCTTCTACTAACATTTGAAGAATATATGTTCACGCAATTTATACATGAAAAAATATTGTAACTTTAATTTGGTGAATCAGCAAATTTAACTCATTATTTAAAGTATTTCAGCATAACAATTCCTGGCTTTATGAGCATTCCAGTCATATTTTTCCGCTGGATCCTGCTTCATTTCAGCTGGATCCTGAATATTGTATGAATGATAAAAATTTTATTTTTTCCCTTCTCTTATTGATAAATTTTAATGGTAAATTAAACGCTGCAACCTTCACAATGCTGACGGACGCCATCGTAGGTAGTGTAGGTTTTTCTGGGTAGGCAAATGACGACGCGGGGTGGCTGGGCGACGTGTTGGTGATGCGCTTGATGACGTCGGCAGGCGTGAGCTGCCACGACGGTGATGTGAAGGCCAAACCTTGATCCGTTCCTGCGTCCAGCGGCGACAGCTAAAAACAACTATAGTAATAAGTTGTGAAATAAAAAAAACAAACAGAAAGTATACATTTAATTTTGTTAATCACTTCAATATTCTGAACGCAAATCGTATTGCTGTCTCTATAGGTACTAACGTAAGATTCAAATAAAAAACTATAACCTAGGATCATGCATCCTGTCAAGATATGACTCGTCAGTCATAATAATTATTGGAACTCAATTTTATAGATTTTTTACTGTAATTTTCTCCTGAGAGCATTGAATATTCACGGTGCTTGACGTAATTAATAACTTATGAAAAGTCGAGTATAATTTTTGAGTTTGTATTTAATCTGATAATGAAAGCGCTCTACCCTCTGCACTTTTCAAGCAACGCACATATGATGCTACTTAAAGTCTCAGCAATCAATGAATAGTCAAAGCATTAAAGTATCAATGAAAACAATTCGTGACCGATTAATCAGCAAAGAAGTAGCTGCAATTCAGCCAAATTTATCACGAGGATTATTTGAAGATGTCATCAGTTAGGTTTGCACATGCCCATCTTTATCGCAGCCACTTATATTCAGTATTGGCATCTTACTGTATCTATGAGAAAAGACTACAACATTTACCATCAAGATCTTTGCAAGACACAAATATTTATAGGATTTCTCACTCCGAATCCCAAGAAAATACAACACTTTTTCTCGAAAATAATATTCAGTCTCAGCTAAGGTTAATTTGTACTATTAGATATTATTATTATTTATTAGTAAACATTAAAATCATTAAATAATTTTTAGAATCTGTTCATAAACTTATTATAATAGGAATTAGACTTTGGAATAAACCTCAAGACTAGTCGCGTTCAACCAGTGGCCAGCGACGCACAGGTCCAGCGAGTCCACCCCGACAAACCAGTCGGGCGATGGCACAATCTTCGCCACCACCGACACCTGCAACAAATCATTTCTTTAAATATAGTCAATTATTTGTTTGAAGTAATATTTATCTTAGCAATATTCATCTTATTCGTCTAATAATATTCAACACTGCCTGAATCTCCTTACGCTGGATTGATTTCAAGCTAAAAAACTAATATAATCCAGCTGAACTAATATAATTATAAGCCAAAACTAATATGAATATAAAAAATAATATTTATGATCCAGGAGTAGAATTCAAAGGCAATTATTAAGAATTCAGTTAAGTACAATTTTTTTTCATGGATAAAAGTTTTTTGTGCATCATAGGAAAATCTTAGAGTCAAGATAGTTCCCTCTCTCTCTCTGATCTTTTATGCTCTATTGACCCAAGAAAGTAGCAGGTCCCGAACGTTTACAGAATTTGATTGCGTCGTCCCTCACAGGACAAGTAAATAATTTATCAGTAAATGCCAGGGCAGAATATTCTTTATTAGTTATCATGTCCGTTTCATTTTCAATTCAAGCAACAACAATTGTCACATTTATATTATCTTTAGAGTTGGTTGTAGGATAATTTTTTTGGATAATTATGATATACATTCAACCGTGTACGTTTCATAACTCGTCAAAAATTAAATTTATAAGTTCATCAATTGTTAGCCTCCCACAACTGAAGACATATTAAGAAGACGCGTGTACATCAAATGTAGTGAAAATGTCGAGACGATATATAGTATCTGTGACAGAATCGTAGCTTAGTTTCAGGCATATTCTCTTTATACATGCGGTCAATAATATGATTGATACAACAGCTGCACTGAACGTCTACCTAGAAAAAGAACCGTAGATTGATCGCACGATAAAACGCCAGAAAAACTGGCCTCTTGCAAGACTGCTGAAGAGATGGGGACAAGCCTGTCAAGAAGTTATATGTATTGTGTAGTGTTTTTAGCTGCACGAACCATATCTCTATACATGCAGGCAGACTCGTGCTCACCTTGGAAATGTTGAGAAATTTGGTTGATAAATAATGCGTGTTTTGGATAACTTCTATAAAATCAAATGTATAGCTTATTGCTGTTGTCCACGCAAGAGTTCGCTATTGTAAATTTGAGCTGCCTATTAAACAACTGATCGTTATTCCAAGATTTGTGTGTTGTTTACACAATAGAAACTTATCGCCCCTTTTGATGGTTGTTGACACAACTGGCACTTATCATCACTTTCCTGGGCCTTTTGCTGCGAAGATGAACACGGTATTTGTTAAAAGTTTCATAATACCATAAATTGAGTTCTTACAAATGTGATGATGAATATAATTAATGGATGAAATAACCAACTTACTTACCAGCGAATGGTTGCCATCAGCAAAGAATTTTGCCCGAGTCTCCCCCACACCCTCTTGAATGGCAGGAGCGTAGAAAGCATCCAGCACGCTCGGTCCCTGCTCGCGGGGGACCAAAATGTGGGTGCTTGTAAAATACTATACGAAGCTACGAAATTACCATGCATACATAGAAATTACCATGCATACATATAAATGTTCATCATGTAAGTTTTGAAGAGAAAAATTTGTCCTCTAACATAGCGTATCCACGTATTGTATGAAAATCCATGATTAAAAATAAAGCCTATCGAGCCATTTTAAAAATATTTTTTGAAATATATGAATTTAATTTTTTCTACCATCCATTGATGGATATAAATTACAAGGCACAAATATGAAACAATTTTTACAAACTTTGTGACACATTATTTTCCAATGAAATGTTTATGAATAATTTGAAGAGTTTTGAACAATTCAAAAGTTTTCCTCATACCTGACTAGCGTACGTAACAGCGTCGAGGGAGTCGGAGCGCCCAGTCTCTGCGAACTCCTTGAGCTGCTGTGAGGCGACCTGCCCCTCCCTGAACACTTGGTGCTGTGCGGAGTGCGTCACGCCTGCTCACAAAAACAATGGGTAACTTGTCTAAAATACATTTGTTCCTGTGATGTGCGATGATTGTTATATATGATTGTGCGATGATTGTTATTTATGAAATCTGCGTACAGTGTTTTAAAGTCGCAAAAGTTCAGACTAAAGTTACCATCTTAAATCCTAGCCTGAGCCTGTTCGTACAAGCTTTACTACAGTGTTAAATTATCATTTCCTACGTCCAATAATTTAATTTTTTTAGCAAGTAATGTTTCTGGAAGAACTTCGTTGCATTCATGTATAAAGAAATTTTGTGCTGAATTATTGAATTGATTGAATTGATTCTGAGACCGTTCAATAACCATTGAAAAATTCATTGCATTATGAAGTTGACTAGGAAAATTGGCGGAAGAACGAGTTTATGAATCAATTGATTTCTAACATATGTTAAAAGATTTCAGAAATTTTAGAATGAAATAATCCCTAAAAATGTTTACCTTCTGTCGTTGTTGCAAGTCCACACATTCTTACATTTATTTAACTCAAACACACCTTCCAGCTCCAGTGAAGTTTATCGTTTGAATACTAAACACTGAGGATTAATTCCTTGAGAGATTGCATCTGATAAGTTCAAATCAAATCCCGAAGCTTCAAAACCTGCTTTTGAAAGGCCATCGAACAACCGGTCATCATCTGTTGCAAGTGTCGATAAACTTGTATGCGAGAACTGCGAATATTGCTCGGCAACCCTACCTGCAACAGCGAACTAATGCATTATGCATCAGCTTAATTTCGTTGGCGCCGAATGAATTTCCATGAGCAAGCGAACTCGTTAGCATTTTCTACCCCTACAAAAAAGTAAATATAAATGTGTAGCTTGACTAATCAATTTTTGCAATACAAGCCAAGACGTTAAGCCACACCGATAGCTTAGAATTAGAATATAGAAATTATTGAAATGCTAACACGACTGACAAGTAAAGGGTTTGACTTATATAGACATAGGAGTATACAACCTTTGATCAGTTTTTTGTACTCTCATTTGCTTCCAGTAGGTAAAGAAGTCTATAACCAATGCATATAATTCACTTTATTAAAGCCGTGTTTATAATTTTGACAAAATCCAAAGAATTTCAATACCTATTCAGAAAGCAAATTTACAGTCGATAACGTCCGTCATATAAGCCACATAGTAATTTTTTACTGGCCGCAAAGAGGCGACATGACACTGGCGTCCACGCTCGTTAATTTGACTGGTAATGCCAATCAGCGTTGACTTGCTGCGCGATTACGTGTAACTACAGTAGACAGTGAGTCACTGGACACTGTACTGGGATCGTTCGTTCTGGTGGTTCAGAAAGACGTTGCACAAATAAACAGTGTAAAAGTCTTCATTCAGGTTCAGACAGAGTTACACGTCCAACAGACGGTCTTGTGGTACCAGCACCCTGTCAGAGCATATATGTTTTCAATCTCAGCATAAATGTTACTAACTGCCTTCTGGGATGTTTGTGAAAACAATTTTTTAATGAGATTTACAATTACAACAATTTAGAGATTTATTGCGTTAATAAATTCGACCCATGCCACACACGGAGTCTTATCCCCAAATTGTCATTAAACATCGCCTGCTTAGCGAGGAAATCGAATTCGGTCACTGTCGGTTATTTACAGTGGCAATTCCTGCAACATGTGCCTCCAAGCAAGAAGTCAGTCCGCATCTGCGCATCGCCTCTGATCAACGATAACATGTCTCTCGCATTTTACTGCCCTCAAGGCAAAGAAGGACAAATTGCCTGACCAATAAACGGGCCTCACGCAGCGTCCCACAACTTTTATTGGCCCTCAAGCAGGAAGAGATAAATCCCGTTGAATAGAACACCTCTCGTGGGGCCTGCGATGAAGCCCATGAAATTTATGACAGGCTTTCGTCGGGCTACCTGCTGTGATGTGACATGTTGCTAAAATCACGACAACTTACTGTCTGAACCAATGAAAAGAATCACAAAGTTCACATCATGGCACATAATCTACAACTCACTCTCATCGCGGTAACGATGTCGCTTCAATCTGAAATAATTTGCTTCATTTGACGGCTGCACCAACGCAGGGTAGGGCATGCATGTCTCACAGTCACTAAATAAAACAAGCTCCGTACATGACTTAGTCTTAAATTTAAAATCTTATATCTTAAACTAACTTAAAATTTTAAAATATGGAAGTTTTGCTAGCTCCTGCGCATCCAATTTGACGATAAACATTTAAATTTACGTTCACTATTTGCAATAGTAAAACCCAAAATACTTGATAATTTCTCTTGATATGAGCTGATTGGATTATTCTACGCAAATTCAATAGAAGATCTTGATTATCTGGTTGTAATTAGGCATGCAAATAGGAAGCGCTCAAATTTTTCCTTGTACATTTCTAGCAAAATCCTATATTAGAGCGGCTTAATTTCCCAGCTTTGCCAACAAAAATAATCACACAATGTGAGTTATAAAAGCTTTTTCTTTGAATATCGTAGCTGAGGGCTAGTGTCGTTCATATCTCGTGCATTCTCCTCAAGCAGGATTAAATGTCAAAAAATTTTTGGAAAATGTGACAGAATATAATTTACAGTGTTTTTTTTTTGTACTGAAATTCAGATATCGTTAACACAACCCTCATTCATGATAGTTATTTTGTATAGCATACTTTTTCCAACTGTAACAGAAGGACAGAAAAGGATGTACAAATTGCAGATATCGATTTGGCCAAATTTAATACCGAGATGAATTCGGCCAACGGATTTTCGCTCGCCTTCCGTCTTAACTCACAATAAATTTGATTTATTTATGGGATCAAACTTCAGATTTTATTGACCAAGGGTAATGATTAATATGTGATTTATGCTTCTTAACTACATATCATCGCTAGCTCAACGTTCATCGGCTTTGCATTAAAATTCAAGATTTGATCTGCGTTTAAATTCTGTCTTCACTTCTCAATGACTTGGAGCTTTTTTTGTGTCAGTTCTTCATCTCCTGAATAAAAATATTCGGTAGAAAATGTAAGAGCAACGTAAAGTTTAGAATGTTCGCAGAAGGACTTCGTAAAGGAATGGCGAGGCTTTGAGATTTATAGCGTTAATAAATTCCAGGCATTCGTGTTTCGGTGCCGTTCTGCGCCAGGCGCCGATTAGCCATGGACGATCGGTCATGATAGTCCGATATAGAAACTTATCATTTATTCCAGCTGAAAGTTGAACATAGTACGTTTTTCATGATAGTTATCCACATTTTTCGCATAAGAATAAGTCATTTAGTTATTCTAAATACAGCAGACACGACGTAAATAAATTTTGTCCGTCATTCCTAATCCAGAGATGGCAATCCGCCGTGATTGTTTTCACCAACCCATGGACCATACGCATAAATTATCCCCATTAGAAGACCAGGCCCCATGTCTTGGAGCCCTTCACTTCATTTGCACTAGGGCGAGTCTTGCCTGCGTCTTATGAATAAAATATTACCCGGTCATAACATTGTTAAATCTTTACTGCTGCTGAGATAAATTCCAAGAATCAATTTACATCTTTTTCATTTATAAACAATTTGAAGTTACATTACCTGGTCATAACATGACCATAACCCTTAGTGCAGAGAATGAAAGTTTGACGAATCATTTTTTATCTTATTCATTGATAGAAATTTAAGGTTAAGTTGCTTTGTCAAAACAAATTTACAATATTGGGTAACAAAGTGTCAGAGTATATCAGCTAATTATGTACTTTAAACTGATAAGTCAGATGATTTACAACAGTTATTTTTACAACTGTATCTAAATTTAATGAATTATGACAGAATATATATCAGCTTCTCATGGCTGTACATATACATGAAGTATTTCACAGAACATGCAATTGCACGTATTATTTTTTCTTTCAATAATTATTGTTAAATGATAAGAGAAACATTCGTGCCTATAAGGTCGTCATGGCAATGCTGTCGGAATTCGCAGAGTCGACACAATACCAGCGAACCCAATGACCTTTCTTTTTCCTTCATAAGCCATGTCTGATTCCAGTTTTAAACCACAAAATGTATTCTAGCAATATAACATGATATATCTGTACGGAATGTAGATACAATGCAATCACGTAATGACAAATATTCTGATGAAAGACTCTTCATGTCTCAAAGTTGACTACTGAAAAAGAATCAGTTCATCGCCACTAGGTCAGTGTACCTAATGAACTCCTCAGATGAGTTGCTGTGACTTCCCTAATTTGCTAGCTAATTGATGAAAGTCCAATCAATTCTGCCAACGCTAAAGTTTGAAGACCTCTAAAGTTCCTTGCCAGAAGTTACAGCGGTAAAAGTGAAATTAGGAGATAATTGAGCATGAATTTCTCCATGAACTTCTTTTATCGCCATTCAATTTTCTAATAATTGTCAAATTCTTTAATAATTTTTTTAGCATCTCGAGACGCTGGATTTCCAATACCGAAGAATTTTTCTCCACTATAAGAATGTGTAATTTATCGAACTACCATTATTTTAACCCCGATGATTTATTTAAACATTCTATCTATTCATCCTTTTCCATGAGCGGTACCTTTGCATAGGAGCAATTCTGTAAGTCCATAGATTTCATGTGACAGCATAAAGGTGGACGACGCCAAGTTTACTCACCAGGCAAGCCCTTAACTCACCGGCACCCATAATTCTCGCAGTGCGCACTTCAGAGCATCACTGCACCTTTGGCACCTTAACTGCCTTGCCACCTCACACGGCCCGCGTTGCCCTTAATGTGGTAAAATGTTGCCGCTTTTGCTGAGTAGCTTTAAGTGAGTGTGTCCCGAGACCTGATGTATGCGCGCCTTGCTTGTTAGGGAGCCGAGACCTTAAAACGAGTGTGAACCTCAAGACCACAAATGAGCGGAAGGCCCGAGGCTCTGAAGAGGTGGGCATGTTGAGACCTGAACAAGATGTTTGCTATTCTGAATAATACGTTCGATGAGTAGCAATTTAATATACGATTT